AAACCGCATTCTGGGTGCTACTTCCCCTCTTAATCTGACTTTGTTTTTGTCCAGATCTCGAGAGAACTGGACGCTACCCGCGGTTCACCTGCGACCTTTTACCGAGTATCATTACTATTGGCGGACCCAACACAGCCTGTGCCGCCTACTGTCTCACCAAGGGGAAAAAGGATGGTCACTGTGATGGAGCTGTGTGTGTGTGCAGTGACTGAATCACAACGCCTGCCGCCTGTGGCCCAACCGTACTTCACGAAAAGATGAGTGTCAAATAAATCTACGTGAAAATAGACTCGCCTATAGATGTATTTTTTAATGTTAACTACAGTTTGCCTTCTCTGGTGATATTTTTATGGTTCGTATCTCAAAAGAATTGTTTGAGTTGAATTTAAATACAACCGATGATGTTGAGGATTTAGGTAGAGAAAGACACAAATCCAGTTTGGATTGTTAACTAACTTTTAATATTGCTTCAAATATACATTTTAACATATTGGTAAAGATATTTTTTACCAATTCAGTCTTTTGGCTTGTAACAATATGTTGACCTCTTCTACTCACTAGATACTACTACTTAGAGTATAATCAACACAAGAGTATAAAACAATTTAACACTACTTGACATTATTATTTTTAAAGTAACAAAATGCTGATATTTACAATAGGAGCTAAGTTCTGAGACAAATCTGAGGCAAAATTAAGGATTGAGAACAGGAGACTCATTTAAATACTCAATTTTGGCAACCCATTAGACTCTGGGTTCAAAATATGTTGATTACACCTCAAATACTTTAATTTCAACTTATGGCAATTTTTATTTTTAACAAATCTATTTTTTTTCATAGACTTAGAACAGGGGATAAGGTACAGTATAGATGAATTCAATAGTTCTGAGCATATTGGGACTAGATTTCTCCTTGTAGAACCAGAACACAGAATGAAGAAGGCAAATCAAATTCCAGATACACAGTCAATAAAAATGTGAAGGCTACAGCATTAATTTACCATCAGCCACTGGAAGGTTATTAATTAATTTAAAACCACTTTCTTCTGCTTTTCTTTTCTTTAGCTGCCATAACTGCTGCAGCCTCTACCTCATCAATGTCCTTATCAGCATCTACTTTAACATCCTTTTTCTTTTTACTGTCCTTCTCTTTCTTCTTCTTTTTATCCTTTTTTGATTTTGAAGGCGATGTTTCTTCAGAACCTTTACCTGCTTTTGCTAAAAACAAAAGGAAAAAAATGATTAAAAATGAAAAATGAATAGTTATAATGTGCATCTAGAGAACTAACTAGTGGTAGGGATGATTCTTACCTGCAAACAAACCAAGGCGAGTGTGAATGCTTTTATCTTCTTCAGCCTCTCTTTTACGGTCCATTTCAAGGCACTCTATAATCTCATTTCTTCGCTCAACAACCTCAACCAATCTAAATTAATTATGTTTTAAAAAAGGTAATAACATTGGTTAGTTTAAATTTCCTCAAAATGAAATCAATAAAATAGTGCATATTCACTAACCTATGAATAAGTTCCTCCTCTCTCGCTTTCATCATGTCTGTTTTATTACGTTCTGGTTGTTCCATTAGGCATCTTATTTCATATTCAAGCTCAGCATGCTCCTCTTCCAAACGCTGTTGCCGCCTCCTACAAATGAAATAATGTTTAATTTTGACTATTGAAAGCAATCAAATAGCACTATTCTTTTTCAATTTATTGAGGGATATACTTACAAGTACATAAGTTCTGCCTGCTTGCGAAAAAGTTCATTTTTCTCATTGACAAGTTCAAACAGCTGAATTACCAAGTCTTCTACATCTGGTGTCATGCTAGATTCTACATTTTGAAGAAAAAATAAAATGAAATTGAGATAAAAGTAAAATCTGGCAAGACATAAAATTATTAACAGTAATGAAAAAGAACTAACCATCTATAGGTGGAGCTTCATCAAACTTGGCACGGATATTCTTTTCTAATTTCACACCTTGTCTTTCAAGTTCTAGCTGTTTGACCTCAATATCATCTAACTCTGTTTTTAACTCTTTTAACGGCATAGCTCGCACCTACAGATTAATATAAGAAAAACAATTAGTACTGTACTGTATTTGAATCAGTGCCATCTCCAAGTTCGCAGCCAATAAATAAGAAACTCACCTGTCGCCTTTGAGGCATAGGTCTAGGAGGGGCTGGTCCTTTCTTTCTCTTCCATTGTCCAAATGTGCTTTTGTCTCTAACCACCGTCAACTCCTCCTTACCTTTAAGAACAAGATAAATGATCATAGCAACAAAAAGCACAACTTTTTAACTTCTTAAAATGCAATGAAATGCAATGAATTAAAAAACTATTTATTTCCTCTGTTAAAGCACTACCACCATGTTCATGTTACCAACCCCACTTATGGAACTGTCGCTCTTGGGGTGTATTGTTATGATCAATTTAAAAAAAAAATTAAAAAAAATGAGGAATAGAAAATGTTTTGTTTCCTTTGATATTGAATGGGAATGCGGCAAAGAAGTTATTGTGTAAAACACGTACCAACAGCTTGCATGCTTCGATTGGCTTCATCCTTCTGCATTTTCTGTCCATCTAAAGAAGCAGATTTAGAGGAACAACCATCTGATGGAGCGGTACTTTGTAATGAGGGTGGTTGAGGTGCAGGTCTTGTCTTCCTTTTTTGGGGAGATCGCTAATTTCAAGCAATTAAGGAAAAAGAACATTAATGACATTATGATACAAATTAATAGTTTAACTTTTGGACATAAACTTAAAATATAAGTGATCCTTACAATGCTTAGATTTGGAGAAGGAGGCTGAGAAGAATTTCGAGAGGGACCACCTGAAATTGATGGTGGTGCTGGGGCAGGCTTCTTGCTCCTTCGATTGGTCCCTGTGTTTGATGCCATGCTTGATAAAGATGACGAAGATCCAAACTTCCCAGTACTACTCAACATCCTGGATGATCCTGCCATTGTAGTTCTTGGTCTTGGACTGGGTTCAGGAGTTAGTCTGGGAGTTAGAAATAAAAGTGCAAAATATAAAATTAATGTTTAATAAAAAAAGATAAATTTGATTTGTATTTTTTCAACTACTTTACCTTATGGTTCTGGGTAGGGGTACCGGAATAGGACTATTTTCATCCTCAGGTTCTTCGCCATCACTCCAAAATGGATTTAAGTTAGCTGGAGCAGGAATGACTCTCCTCTGAGCTGGCACTGGTGACACAGAAGAAAAATTGGTAGAACTAGTTGCTTGACTATCATTTGAAGTCTTATTTAAATTGGGAGGAGGAGGTCTTGGTGGTTTGTCTGCAATAGACTTCCTTCTTAGAATTACAGGTTCTTCCTCTTCTTCCTCACTTGATCCAAAAGGATTAGTGCTTTCTTTTTTGGCCACATTGATACCAGAGGAGACTGTTGATTCCAGGAGACTTCCCTGATCCTCATCACCATCACCAAATGGATTGAGGTCAGAAGGATATTCCTCAGTCTGCACTTGAATTTCTACAACTTGATTTGGAGCAGAAATAATTTTCCTTGGGTTTATTGTGGGCTTAACACAAGTTGATGAGTCTAGTCTGTCTTTTACATCTTCTTCTGTCTGGCAAAGCTCTCCCAAATTATTGCCAATAGACAAGTTTTCTTCTATTTCTTCACCTTCGGACTTAACATTCTTCTTTTCACTGGTTTCACGCGTGATTGTTGGCTGCTCAGGCTTCATTTCAATATAAACATCTACTTCGCTACCTATCCCCTCAGATTTTACCTTTTCAATGACTAAATTTAAATCTTTCTGATTTTCTGAACTGTCTTCAGTATCATCACTTTTATCTATGTTAACAGTTTTCCTATCTTCTTCTTCTATTTGTGATTCCTTATTCTGAGTACTAAATGAATCTTTTGCCTTAAAAATGTTTGCAGGTGTACTTGGCTTTTTCTGAGATGTGGAAACTCCCACAGTGCAATTGGTACTATCATTTTCAAACATCATTCTCCTCATCTTCACTATAGAAGAAACTGAGGTGTCAGCACTGGAAATTTTAGAATCTTTGGTACAGTTATTCACTTCAATAAGATCAGTACTGACACTAACAGAAGGCTGAGTAACACTAGAGTCACTACTTTTAGACAAATTATGTACACTATCCTTTGTAACAAGATTCCTGTCATCAAACTTCTCTGCAATGCTGTCAGACGTATCCCTGACGTCTTCCATTACTTTGTCAAAAGATGTTGGGTCTTCTTTGGTTGACTGATAAAGTAAAAGCTCATCACTACACTGGGAGTGCAGTGAATGCGTGGTTGCAGTTTCACCAGTATTTACATATGAATTTAGCAAAGTCTTCTGGTCTGAGTCATCAGCTTTGCTTACGAGATCATTGGACACTTGATTTGTTGAGGCGAGGGGGGTTTTACCAGTACGCTGCTGTGATGCTGATTTTCCACGGTCAAAATTCTCAATGGTAGATTCAAACAAGGCACTATAATCATCGCACACATCTGCTGCACCACTTGCTTTTGCAAGTTGAGATTCTGAACTCTTCTCATCATCACTTAAAGAAACATTGCGATGCAAAACCTTTTGCCTTACTTCTGCACTGCATATGGATTCACTTTTGCTTTCTGAGAAATCTACTCGATCAGTACCTTGACTGGAAGTATCTGACTTGTCCGTTTCTTCATCAGGGCATGTTTCACAGCAAAAGCCACCATCTTCTGTTTCATAGCAGTTGGCAAGTGTAAGCTGCGCTGAACAGCGAGCACATCGGAAGCAGGTGCGATGATATAGTGCTCTTTTGGATCCCACAAGGAGCCGTTCCGCAAGAAATACTGGTAATCCACAATGTGTGCATGAGTCATGTGCTGAGCGCGAAGAGGCTCCCCCAGACACACCCCTCGCCGGCACCTGAGAAACAGCAATAAAATGTTGAATTAAAAATCGGATCTGGTCATCAAGCGGTTTCAAAGACTTGGTCGCATTGTTAATGGATTGAAGACTCAGAGAGTTTTTCCGAACACAAGCTTTTAACTTTTTCAAAACAGCCATTGAATTTAGAGAGCAGAATATTGCTACCACAACAGCCAAGCTCTGACTGTATAGAGTATGAGAAAATTCAACACGTACAGTGAGCTAGCTGATATGGACTACATACAGGCTTTGAGCTTTATCTAATCTGAGTGATAGAGGATGACAGCCATACTGCCACACATTTCCAAGGCAATGAAAGTGCAAGGTGAAATAAGCAGAATGGTTTTTCACAAACAAAACCAAGGTACAATGAGAGAATTATGAGACAATTACCTTCTAGCAGAATATTTCAGGCTTATACTGTCCCATAATGTCCAAGCTTTCCTCCTGTGAGAATAGAACAAATCAGGAATTTTAGCAGTGTGGGACTAACATGTAAAAAGTAGTAACCAAACAAAAAGAAAAAGAAAACAAAAGAACAGGAACAGAGGTTTAGCATAAATTACATGCCACTTTTCAATCCAAGAAACCTGTAACAACTTGCATTAATGTTTAGGGTACTATCACTGCATCTTAATCAAAAAATGTTATGAGTTAGAGGCAAACTAGCTAATTAAATCTTACACTATAAAACTGGGTACAAACAACACAGTGGGTGTGACTCAGCAAGAATTATAGGCATGGTTGTAGGCAAATATATTTAACATTATTCTTGTACATGCCATGCAAACTAATAATAAGTGTTAAACGTTCTATTTACACTAGACACACCATTTTACAAACAGCTGGGTGTCTGCCATCATTAGACAAAGAAGTGCAATATAGGATGCAATTTTACATCATTTAAAAATTGTGTCTGAAAAGTGCAGTAACTTGCAGCATAGACATAAGATAGAGATTGAAAATCTGAAAGTGCAACCAAATGCAAAATATCTTTTTCCAGGATACAGCCAGCATCTGAAAATAATTTTTCATTTAAAAGGGCTCCAACAGTTCAGTGTGACTGTGATTTTTGTATTGTAGATAGAAGTCTCAGAAAAAAACTCATGCTTTTTCACAATTAGCAGCCATTGTACAACTTGTGTTATGCCATGTTTGTTCCTTTTTCTATGGAAATTTTTACTACAGTATCAACCCACACTGCATATTGATGTATTAATGTTACCAATAATATTTTTTTAAAAAGCTTGTACTGTATTGGATAGCATAAACATAAAATCTGTTTTGATGGGGATAAATGACTTACCACCCACAAACATTACAAACAAAGCTAAATACTGTATTCTCTCAAAAGAGTGGACAGTAAAAATGAAATCACCTTGGTATCAAGCAAGAAAGCCAAAAAGGGACAACATTGAAATCATGAGATGCAAACACTTACTGGTATAAAATTTTGAATCTAAAGCACAGCATAAAATGAAGCATGAATCCCATGTTGGAATTTCTTTGTTTGAGCAATGTAATATAAAGATTAAAAGCAATATTTTACTAGCAATGCATATTGTTGTAAGATGCAGTGACGCAATGAAAATGCAGACAGATGGTAGAGACAAAACAATGACAATGCCAATGCACCCAGAAAGGAGAAAGGTCATCAAAAAGACAAGAACCAAACCTTAGAGGGTGGACTGGTTGATGTGGGCGACATGTTTGGTGACAAGTCTGGAGAAGATGACAGGCTTGGCGAAACTGAGGATCTCTTGACAGGTGTTCTTGAGTTGGGAGAGTGACCTGGAAGCATTTCAGAAATAAGAAGAGAGGAACAGTAAATATAATTATATAAAAATTCTGAAACAGCTAACAATGCATTACCTTGCTGTCCAACAAAAGTCTGATAAAACTGAGACAGGTATGTCAGCATGGATAATCTGTCTGGGACTTCATATTCCACCATGTCTTCAGCATCAAGGAGAGCTGGAATTCCCAAATGGCGTTCAGCTATTCTGAAAGCCAGTTCATTGTTGTGATAGACTTCCCTTTTGTCCAGGCTTTCAAAATCACTGCAATAAAATAATGTGAGTGAGATAGGTATCATTAGTCTCAAACAATAGAATTTAGATATCACTTCAATAACAAAGACTTACATGAGGTCTGGTCTGAAGTGGTGAATCAATGCGCAGAATGCAAGTCCATCTCGCCATGATGTTGTCATGTTCTCCACCTTCACTCCAGGGTATCCCTCAGTGACTCTCTTGCACCATACCTCCAGAGCTTTGGTTCCACGCTTCTCCCCCATTTTCAACCTGCAACAGAGATTTAAAACCATAGTCAAAGTTAATATTCAACGACTATTGCACTTTTCTTCATCAATAAATTCGCTTATTGATAAAAACCAAAGAATGTCATGTCTTAAGCCTCATAAATAAATAAGCTGTCTCCAATTGCTTTTAAACTTAAACAAAACAACGCACAAAAGCTTTGGCTTTTCATCATGGACTCTACACTACAAAAATTAATACACTTCCTTAAACGCCAGACAGGTTATGATGCCCTAATCGCCCGTCCGGATTCAATTCATCCACATCAACTGCTCATTCAGAAAAA